CATGGAGAGAAGGGGTATCAAATACGTATTTGTTATTTGATTTGTGGAATTGGGTGTTTCCATTAGAAAGTGTTCCTTTTCCCTGTAGGGAAAACCAGAGATGTTGCTCAAATTCATTCATATCCAGCACCCAAGATAGTTAGTGTCCCGTGTTTTAGCATCCTGCGAAGGATTTCAATTTTCCTGTTTTTTTACTTTTAAACTGTAAAACTTCAGTGCTTTCCTAAGGACATGAAGATGCTGTTGCCAGTTACTAGCATGGTTTTCCAGCCCCGTAAATTGGCAAATGAAAACCGTCCCTGGGCAACCATTACTGCCCAATGTCTCTTTTTGTGCTGGCACTTTGAAAATTCTTATGCTGATTAAATTGACCTTTACAGTGGCTCAGCTAAGAATAGCAGCTATTAGACCTGGAAACTCTTAAGGAAAATGTTGTTAGTCCCATAGTTTATGCTGCCACCAAAGAGATGAGATAATTTTTTGCATATGTGCAAAAGGCATACTGTTCATCCTTTCCATTGTAAAAAATGTTCTTTCCAGTTTGGTGTTGGTTTTGCTTGCTCCTTCTTCGCGCCTGTGCTTTTTGTTTGGTGACTATATGTGCCCTGTATCTTGGAGCCGGTCAATGTGGTACCAGGGCTTGAAGGCACATACCTATAACACATGAGGATCCTAATGGTCATCGCCACAGTCCTCTCTGAGGTAGGAGACCTCGACATAAAAGCACATGTTATTTGCACAAAGTTCCTTCATGGGAAGTTTTAGCATTTATTTGGTGTGGAGTTTTGTGCAAATGAAAACTTTGCCAGGAAGAAGAATCTATAAAATGCAAATCTGATCTTGTCACCTCCCTGCACAGTCTGGTCCCCACTTACCTAACCTAACTTCCCTACCTACTTCCTTAACCAGCTCCCTAGCTAGAGCTTTGCTAGTTCCTTTCCTCTGCCTAGAAGGTTGTTCTTGTGTCTCTTCCCTAGTTACTAACTTTCTAACCATCCTGACGATCTAAGTTCCATCTTACCTTCCTCCGAGAAGCTATTCTGGACTTTCTGCACTAATTTCCAGGTCTTACCTATTATAAGCTCTCACCAAATCATGTCTTTTTTGGCAGTTTTATCTGTGATTACATTATCATCTTTTCATTAGACTTCAGGCTCCACAAGAACAGTGATTATGACTGTTTTTAGCCATTATGTTCCCTACCCTTAGTTCAGTGCTGGTGCAGGGTACTCAGTAAATGTTGAAAGAAGGAATGCAGACCCCGTGTTCCACACTGGGATGAAACACCATTCTGCTGTTCAGAAAATCAGTATGTCAAAATATGACCTTTCACGCAAAGAAGGGAAGAGTCGCAAGCATGTCGCCCCTCCACACTGCCGGATAGAAGAGGAAAGATCCTATTCCAGGAGCCAGAGAGCTCCACAGGGCACGGTCCTAATCTTTTCCATGGAAGAGGAAATGTCGATTTTATTTGGTTTGGAGCTTTTAGTGGATTTATTTAAGCAACTGAAATGGAAAAAGCAACCGAAGAAGTATAACTTTAACCAAGGAGGCTCCAGCTTAATTATAGTTAAGAAGAGCTCAGGCTCTGGAGTCAGAAAAACTAGATTGCACTGCTTCCTAGCTGTGTGACCTTAGGCAAGTTGCTTAGCCTATCTTGGCCTCAATTCCCTGATACTAATCCATTTCATAGGGTTGCTTCAAGTCTGGATGAAGGAATACATGTAAAGCATTTAGAACAATGCCTGGCACATGGCAAATGCCCAGCACGCATTAGCTATATATTCACCCACCACTCCCTGTCTTCACAGAGGTTGCACAGCCATTATTTTATTAAGCAAAACTTTATGTACTGAGCACTGTGCTTGTACTGGGGATGGGAGAGGGGGATAAGGGGACAGAGCTCCTGTACATAGGGAGAACACAATTCATTCTCTGGTTCCCCTCTGGAGAAACTGGACTTGTTCTGAACAACATAATATGTGTAAAGTGCTTGAAGATGCTTGGAAGAAAAACAAAGTATAATCTTAAAGGATGCTGAGAATTTTCCATATTCGAACTTTCCATTGTATTCTCTCCAGTTCCTTTTTCTATTCTCTGCGTGTCTGGAGCAGCTCACATTGCAGTGAACTTTACTATTCTGACAGAGTTCTGAGTGAATGCAAAGTGCTGTTTGGATGGTCTTTCATGCTGGGAATGATGGCTCACAAAATAATGTTGATATTAAGAGCTCGGAGAAGTTAAGTAACTTACCGAAGCTCACGCAGTTAATAAGCAGTGGGCTTAATAAGTTAATAAGCTGGGCTTTGAACCCAGATCTGATTGACTCTTTAATCACTTCTGCCTCACGGTGGATCTTGAGCCACGTGGAGGTCGTGGAGGCCTTTGAGAGTCCACAGGGTAAACCACTGTTAAGCTCCTCGTACTACCGAGGGTGGTGGAAAGCACCAAGCAGCATTTGCACACCGCTGTTCTTTGCTGTACTTTGAATGAAAAGAGATAGATTTTAGGAGCTCTTGAGTTGGCTCAAGGCTGCTATATAAGAGGAGATGGGCCTTGGGTAGGATAATAAAGCCTTAGGGTTGAAAGAGACTTTAGACAGCATCTTAACTAGTCACAGGGCCATTGCATAACTTGCCCAAAGTTCTATTCTATCGTGGCAGAGCTGGGACCAAACCCAAGGCACTTGGAATTTTTTCCCATACCAGCAGGTCTCTCTCTGGAGGAGTTCACCTTGACATTCACATCTCACTACCCCTGGTCTTCCTTCATTTTTTCCTTGCTAAAGGTCCATGAGCCCATTTATCTTCTTTAACTGCCCACCTCTTTCCTTCCTCCTGCAGCAGAAATGACAATTCCCATAACCAAGACCATCCCAGGCAGCTTGGGGACTCTTCTCTGGGGGCAGAGGGAGGAGAACACAGGGCGAGATATACTGGTTAAAAGTGTTTTGAGGAACACTGGATTAAATGATGCTGGTACAGTTCTGCTCTCCCTAGGAAAAAGAGTGGGGTCCTGTTTATATCAGCCTTCCTGCCTTGGGGGAATGGAAGGGCTGAGAGAAAAGCTGACACCAGTAGGTCAGGAGGGTGCCACTTGTTTAGATTTCAAATGCATTCCATTCCACGCCTCACTTCGGACCAGTTGGCCGCTATGTGTTCAAAACCTGGACCTCATCTGGTGAATTTTCCTGAGGCACAAGTGTCACTGGATTCTTTTAACATGTTGGGGTGTAGGCAGCACGGCCTCTTTTAGAAACTACGCGGACACTCTGAACTGTGTTCTTGTGAGCCAGTGCCAGGAGAACAGCATTTCAAGACTTGGTAGACTCGGGAGAAACTTTTGATGTCCTTGTGAAGGCAGTGTTTTGCTCTGAAGTCAGAGAGAGTGTGTTCTAGCAAAAATGAGTGCAGATCTGCTTTCTGCATGTGTGCCAAGCCTCACAGGAGATATCTCACTGGACAGCCACCCACTAGGTGGCCACATTTTGCATATGGTGTCCATAGGAAGGCCAGCATAGGAAGAACTATGCTTGTGATATCATGAAACCCTTATTGTCAGAGTTTACAAATGCCTTGCCCACGTTTCTTCCTAAACCCCTTTGCCCCAGGGTGTAAGACTCTTAAAGATCAAGAAGCACCTGAGGGTGTATGGTGGAAACCTGCACCAAGGCCAGCGTTTAGCTGTGCCCTTTCTCTTGTCCTCTCCCTGTGGCTTCAGGTGCTTGTACTGTTGCTCACGGCCTCTAGTCCTGTAGACAGTCACTGGCATGCTTTGTTTATACCCTTGGCCAAGAAGACAGCCTGGTAAAGCCAAGCCCAGAGAGGAAGAACTGACCATGTGACTTAAGTTTCCACTGGCAGGCGTCCACCCGGATGTGCACCGTGGGCAGGGTCAGCCTGAGTAGCAGCAAATATAATATCGTGGTTTTAGTTTCTTTGCTGAGCAGGTTTTTTTTTTCCCTTCTTAACTCAGAGCTTCTTGAAGATAGGGACAATGTCATCTTTGTATCCCTCGTACTGAACATGGTGCTTGGCACGAAGCCCGTGTCCAAAAATAAATGTGTGTTACTTCTTTAGAATAAAGAAATGTTGAAAGCCAGATAGAGCAGGTGACTTGTAGGGCTCATCATACATGCATTGTGGTCCAGAGACTGTTTTGAGCTGAAGTTCCGGTTGGCCAGTGGGGTATTTCAAATCATAAAAGTGGAATATAGAAAACCTTTTTTTTCACCTCCATCCCCATCCACCTGTGCTGTGAATAGAATTTGGCAAACTGCTTGATGGTTACTCATTAGTGCCCTTTCTGTAGCCGTCCCTGACAAGGGACAGTGTGAATCCCAGATCCAGTCAAGATCATTGAGAGATAGATCATTCAGTAAGCAAAACTGATCTAGCAAATTGAAATTGGACTAGGTCGCTTGAGCAGGTCGTCCCATTCCTTAAAAGTGAAGAATTTTAGTAGCAGGTTTTTAAATTAGCCTTCTTTTGAATCACACTGTAATTAACCTTGGCGATCATGTGTTTGGAAAGGAGGATAGAATGACTGACTAGAAGCTAATCCTAGAACACATACTGCATTAATTATTCTAGGATCTTTCACAGAAAAGCTGGTTTTATATAAAACATACTGCTAATTACAGGAGAATCATCACCTTCTCAACGGCTGAGTTTAACACCGGAACATCAAGCGTTTCTGCTTGGACATAAGGAAAGCGAGGCGGCCTTTTCCTGTCTGAGCAGAACTCTGCTCTTTACCTGTTGGCTTTGTGTGCTGAATCCTCTTCCTCCTTTAATAAACCATTTTTTCTCCCTTAAATCTGCTGTTCTGTGGTTCTTTCTAATACTTTTTTCTTAATGGGATAGTCACTGGTAGAAACCGTTTCGGTGAAAGGTGGGCAGGTTACCAGGAAGAGAAGGGGCATGAAAAGAAAAGTGGTGTTTAAAAGCTGTAATTTAATATGCTAAAATGTTTTTTGTTGTTGTTGTTTTCTCTTTTAGGATAAGGAAACCTGTGTGGGTACCAACAATCAAAGCTACATCTGTGACACAGGACATTGCTGTGGTCAGTCTCAGTGCTGCAACTACTACTATGAACTCTGGTGTAAGTCCTCGCCTGGGGTGGGGGAGTCTCTTGGCATCCCGGGGTCCTGGTTACTGCCTTCACTCCTCGGGAAACCTGTCATTCTTTTGGGGGCAGTGTTGGCGGGTAGAATCTGTTTCTGGGTTCCAGAAGTGATTCTTCCGTTGAGGAGGGAGCACTCTGATGCTCTTTGAACATTGCAGGCTGACGACTGGAGAATATAGTCTGAGCTTTCTTAAGAGGCCATGGTCACCAGGTCTGCTTCAGAAACTCCCACCTGGGGGTCTCTTTTATGCTTTCTCCAGTGTTTGCTGAGCAGTGACAACCACTTAGATCTTCCAATGGCCCAGCCCAGACGCCCAGGCTTGCCGTCTTTGCGACGGAATGTTAAAAAGTACCCAAGCTACTGTGATGGCCGGGCTGGGCTGTATGGATGGATGGCTATAAATCCATTTTCTTGTAGGAACTATAAGGTTCTAGAATTCCGCACAGGACATCAGGGAGCTGCCTCTGTGTCTGAGGGTCCCTCTCAAAGGGATAATCTTCCATAAGTCTCTACTGACAGAGCTGTCCTGGACAGAGGGAGTCTGGAGGTTCAGCCCCCATGTTTCTTTCTCAGTTCTGGAGCCAAAGTGTCTGGAGGTTTTCTCCAGTGCACCTAACCTGTCGCTGCCAGCTAATTGCCCCGTGGAGCCAGTCCTCGTCTTGCCACTGATTTGGTTGAGGCCGGGACACCTTGCACCTTCTAGAGTTGCACAAGGGCGGTGACCCTGCTGTGGTCTTCAGGGAATAACCCAGGCTTGAAGAGTTCACTAACAGACCTTGTACTCCAATCTTCTTGGAACTCAGATAAGACAGTGTAGGATGCTGGACAAAGAATGAGAGGCCCCTGAGGGCAGAGAGTCTCCACGTGACCAGCACTGCAATGGTTCTCACAACTGTTGAGAGAGGAAATGATAGACTGTTTCCTGAGCTGACTCTAGGTCTCCCTCCCTCCCTCCATTTAGGCTTTGGGCTTGTTTGTCAAACCATGCCCTTACTGCCACCATCACTCCTGCCCATTTTTCCCCTTCTTTCTCATTTCCCATTGGCCCCGTGTCAGTGATATGGTCGGAAAGCCACTAGATGGGCTGTTGTCTGGAATGGAAAGGAAATTAGACTCTTGGCTGGGTAGTCTCTCCCTCTAAATGCAAATGAGTCTTGTAGCCATGGGAGTGGTTCTTACAAACAGGACCTCTTCTCACCCTGGTCTTTCCCTTATGAGGACTGGGGGGACTGGCTCCGGCTTGTCTGTCTTCCTGAGGAATCCCAGGGTCAGTCAAGTGCAGACTCCTCCCCCAAGGAGAGGATAAGGCTCAGGATGTCCTCCTCAGTCCTCCATGTATATAAGCAGCTGCCAAGAAGCCCAAGAACTGTCGTTGCTATTTTAGAAGGGGCGGGGCTGAGGCACTTACTAGAGAACATAAAGTGCCAAGCAGGTGTACAGACTGTGTTTAAATGTTTTAAAATGCAGATAACCACAGGGTTCAAATTCTCCTTCCCACCCCTTGTTAAAACAAAAGTCAAAGCCGGGCTGCCAAAAAGCCACAGAGCTGCCGGTTTGTATTTCTGGGGCCTGGCCTGGGCGGCGTCAGTTGCGAAAAGGGATAAAGTCGATGGCCCCATCTCAGACTGACACAGCCTCCTGGGCTGTTGGCAGAGCAGACTCAGTAGCCACCAGAATTGGGTCACCAAAGCCAGGGCAGGGCGGTGGGGCAGCGGGAATAGGGACACTCAGATGGCAGGGAGGCAGTGTGGGAACCAGGCACTTCACCCCCGAGGGCTTGAAGAACGCCAGAGCTGCACGAGTGGCTAATTCTCTCTCCACTTATGGCTAGTCAGAGAAAGGAGGAGGCCAGAGACCAGAGTCTGGACAGAAAAAAGACTCTCCATTATAATGGCTGGCCCATGCTTTCCAAGTTCTGCTGGGACAGAGACTGTAAAAGCAGAACTTTCCTCTAATCAATGTCCAGAAACGGCTGCTTGGTCAGGAGATGCCCAACAGTGTCCTCCCCACTTTGAGAATTCTTTGGTTTTCTCCCTTATTAGGATCCTGGCTTCCACCGATATGAATAGGAGGGATGGTGAGGGCTGGAATGAGCCCTTTCAGTTCTCATCGAAACTCTGCTTTTTGTAGCTTTGAACCTTGTTCCCTCTGATTGCCTCTAAACTTTCCCTGAAATGTGAAAATAATGGGGTTTCGGTTATTCTTTTTGTCTCTTTCCTCTGGAAGGAAAAGATCTCAGCCAGGAAATCTTTGGCAGAGTTTTCATCAAAGTACCTCTTTAACCATAGTTGCCTACAGCAAAGCCTCAAGAGAAAACAATGCCATTTCCACCAACCCTTTTACCTTTCTGCTAAGCGGAATTTTTCTGTGTGCTGAGGACTGTCACATAACACACACACAGCCCACTTTACGCAGACATACAAGCACATACAGACCTTGAGCTTCAGCCAGCTCCCTTTCTCTCCTGTCTTTTCAGTCTGTTGTAACCTAAGCCAATAGTCATTACTGGGCCTGCATCAGACAGGAAGCGAAGTTACTGTTCTTACAGTGCAGTGGTTGAGGCCATAAGGACTTGGTCGTTATTATTATCATCCCATGCATTTTTATGGCACTTGTACTTTAACTCATCATTCAATCATTTATTCATTGAGCAAACCCTATTCCATTGGTTCTTGAACTTTGGCAGGCATCTGAATTTACTGGAGGGCTCATTAAGACACAGTTTTCTGGGCCCTACTCCCACATTTTTTGATTTAATAGGTCTGAGGTGGACTTGAGCGTTTGTAATTCTAACAAGGTCCTTTTGAATTCTGTGGCCTCTTCTGTGTTAGAAACTGTGGGGAGACAAAATCCTTGCCTTCAAGAAGAAGATCTCCTAGCAGAGAGAAGAGATAAGAGACCGTTAATAATGCAAAGGAGAAAGTGGAACGTATGTGTCAGAACTGTTATGAATGTTCAGAAGGAGAGTCTGCTTTGGCTGGACAGGAGTCAGGCAGGCTGCATGGAAGAGGTGGCATTTGAAGCGGTCCTTAAAAGGTGGATAAGATTTAAACACGTGGAGACTTCCAAGGCAGAGTAATAACATAGACCAAGGCCCCAAGGGAAAGAACAGAGTGGATCATGTAGTTGTTCACCTTCCCCCAGGAGCTGTGGGGCTTGCCTGGGAAGAAATGAGAGATAATAAAAGTGCCAGTATGCATAGAACTCTCCTAGTGCCAGGCACTAATAAGTAAGGTCTTCATGCATATCCTCTGATTTGACCCCAAGAACAATCCTGCTAGGTACGCATATCATCCCAGTATCTTGGGACCAGGGATGCTGAATAACTCTCTTCAGTTGGTTGCAGCTGAGGAGCACAGTCAGCATGCCTCACTCCGAAGCCTTCCAGAATGCCAGCACCAGGATCGTAGGGTGATGGGCCCAGTTCGTGGAGGGTCTCAGATGCGCATGTTTAATTTCCACCTGGCAATGGCCTTCATGAAACAGAAAGCAAAGAAAAAAAAGAGACCTGGGGAGGCCAGGGACATGCTCAAGGCCAAAGAGCCTGAGCCGGGACTTCCCGGTTCTCATGCCAGGGTTCTTTTCACTCACCCAGCTCCATTTTCCGGCAGAGGTCAGAGTTGGAAAGTTCTGCTTCTAAGGTAATTTGGAGGAACTTCACTCAGGCATCAGTTTTCCCTGGTTTGGGCTTTAATGGGGGACAGGATAGTATTTCTGGATAGTGGAATTTCCCTGAGATGACATGAAGCAGATTATTAGCAAATCCAGTTAATGCTGCCCAGCTTTTCACCTACTAACATTTTTTCTTTTTAGTTTATCTTAAGATACCCATTGTTGAATTACTCTTGAGGAAGAATGGACAGCAGGGAGCTGGGGCCTCCTTCCGAGCTCTGACTAGACCCCAGTTTCCTAGTGGTCCAGGCTTCTGAACAAAGGCGGGTTGATCAGAAGCAGGTGTGCTGGTTTTCTAATGAATTTGGCCAAGAATAGAACCTAGAACCACTCTTTGGACTTGTCCTTCACTCTTGCTTTTTTATGGATTAAAAGGGAAATTTAAAGGAAACCCTTCCCGTCTCTGGCTATGCCTGTGACAACAATAGTAATAATAAGCTAGAGAACTTACTATACACGAGACATGGTTCTCAGTACTCTGCATATATTAGCTAATTTTCCTCACAGCGACCGAGTAGGTAGAGAACATTATTCTCTCCATTTTACAGATGAGGGAAATAAAAACAAAATGACCAAGGTCATAAAGCTGGGAAATGGTTTTGTGAGCTGGGATTTGAACCAGGTCATCTGCCTTTCCTCCCCTTCCCTCTTCTTATTTGCAGTCATGCTTATAGGAAACTTGTCCAATGTTTCAGATAAAGTTGCAAGTCTTCTGAAATCTTTATTTCCCAAATTCAGGCCACAGTGGCAGTGGCAGGAGCTCCTGCTAAGAGGTATAAGGGTCCAGGGAGGTCACCTACCATCCTGTAGAAGGAACGCTAATTTACAGTATGCTTTGGCTTCCTAATGAGGAATTTCCTGCCAGTTGGGGAGTATTGTTTTTCCAAGTTTATAGTGAACTTGGGGCACATGACTCAGTGCCTACATTGGACCGAGATCGTTTTTAAAAACATGTTTTCCATTTTGCTTAGCATGGTTCCCCACCATGAGGTCACAACTTTCAAAGTTGGGGACTATAATCTCTGGATAGATGTGTTTTGTTTCTTTCTCAGTGTATCTCTTTCATTAGATTTTCCTTTTTTAAGTTTTCTTCCTTGTTTTTTTGAAATTTATCAAAAAGATCAAAAGTTTGCACAACTCCATAGGGACTAGTCTGGCTATGTCTCCCATTTAAAGTTGATGGGACACCACTTTGACTAGAATGGCTCCCAAGAAAATCCGATGTGTGAGGGTCAGACAAGAATGCCTTCTATCTTTCCACATTGATTCCATTAAGTGGAACCAGCTGATTAGGACTCTTTTT